GCACCAGACTCAAATGAGGAATGTCGCTCTCAGAGCCCCAGGAGGAGGCGCGGACAGGGCCGCAGGGTGCGGGAATCTAGAGTGGCCTCGATGTCACATACAACTCCTGTGAACTGGGTGGGGACAAATCCAACCGCTAGGCACGCAGGTGAGCGGGCAAAAGACCCAAACTGCACCTCAGGGGAAGGTACCCAAGTGGCTAGTGCACCTGTGCCCCATACCACAGCTACAGGGGAACGTACAGCCGAGGGGATGCCACCACGTGTGGACACCAAAACAGTGCTGCAAGTGCTGCCGCGTACATGGAGCCTTTTTTTTTTTTATGCTCTGCAATGGGGACTGTAAAGTCACTCAACTACTTGGGAAATTTATTTGTCAAAATAAAGTCAATCCATTACATTTCCCATGACTCAGCAATTACACTCCTTGCTAAACACACAAAAAACCTTCTCATCCAAGTGAGTAAAAGCAAGAATGTTGCCAACTGTATCAGTGACATTATTATTAACATGCTGAAAGTATCTACTTCCATTTTAATAAGACGGATAATTCATGCTGTTTGCAATGGAACACTATTTGCCCATGAAAATGGTTCAGTTACAGCTACATTTAAAAACAGCCTAGATTCAGAAACCTAATATTTAGGAAAAAAAAGTCAAATTCAAACACTGGTAAATTCTTCCATTTACATCAAGTTTAAGAACAGTTCAAACTAATTTACAGTGTTAGAATGATGGCATGTGCTTCCTCTGGGGATGGAAGAGGAGAAAAATCCATTTACAGCACGATGGGATCCTCTGCCAGGCTAGTACAGTTCCTGTGCGTGCGTTGTGCGTGCGTGTGTATGTGAATGGGGATGTACCTAAGCATTCACCTTATGACAACACCACTACAGGCTAGTACAGTTCCTGTGCGTGCGTGTGTGTGTGTGTGTGAATGGGGATGTACCTAAGCGTTCACCTTATGACAACACCACTACAGGCTAGTACAGTTCCTGTGCGTGCGTGTGTGCGTGCGTGTGTGTGTGAGAATGGGGATGTAGCTAAGCGTTCACCTTATGACAACACCACTACAGACGCTGTGGGTGATTTAAGGCAGGAGGACCACAGGTTCAAGTCCAGCCTGGGCAACGCAGTGAGACACCGTCTCCAATGTACAGAGGGTAGAGTACCCTGAGCTCCATCCCAGTACTATAGGAAGGAGGGAAGGAAGAGGAAGAAAGAAAACCACGTGGCCTATTTACCAGATATTGTCCTACCCCCCATCCACAAAAACCTCTGGAAATGAATTAAAAATTGAGAAGGGCTATGGTTTGGTTTAGTAGTGGAAATACATTTATTTTTTGGTACTGATAGAACTGAGGGGCACCTGACCACTGAGCCACATTCCCAGTCCTATTTGGTATTTTGTCTCCGAGTCACTTAGCACCTCACTTTTGCTGAGGCTGCTTTGAACTTGCTATCCTCCTGCCTCGGCCTCTCGAGCCGCTGGGATTACAGGCATGTACCACAATACCCCACTCATATTTTTTTTTGATATTCATATGTGACATAACAGAGAAAAACGATAACAACTCTAGGTTATTCCCTCTTCTATTATTTATGAAAGCATTGTGATAAGAATGCATAACTTTTTAAGTTACTAGAAACAATGGAAAATTTCCAGTGTGAAAAATTCTACATCCTTTTCAGTTCAAAAATATTCTACATTCTTTTAAGGTTTACATTACACTTACCCGTTTTTAGCCAATGAATCCAGAACTTAAATATTTGTTTCGAGACCATTAATCTCTGAGCCTTCTGAGAAATGGATTTATTGGATCTCAAACTTTTTCACACTTACCTTGAGTCCTATAATTCTACCGTATCTATGAATGTGAAGGGAGGAAAGTAAACTGAGGTTTGCTGTGAATGCCACATACATGGGACAGGTGGACGGCCAGACAGATGAGCAGCAGCACATCTATTTCATGGAGAGGTAGGAAAACCATGGGGCTTGTAATGAATTATGAAAAGAGTCTTTTAAGTAGCAGGGAAATACAAAATCTTACTTGCTCACAGATGTGTGTGTGTGTGTGTGTGCATGTGTGTGTGTGCGCACGTGTCTGTCTGTGTGTGTCTGTGTGTGTGTGCGCGTGTCTGTCTGTGTGTGTACGTGTCTGTGTCTGTGTGTGTGTGCGTGCATGTCTGTGTGCGTGTGTGTCTGTGTGTGTCTGTGTGTGTGTCTGTGTGTGTGTCTCTGTGTGTGTGTGTCTGTGTCTGTGTGTGTGTGTCTGTGTGTGTG